CTCAGATTAAGAAGTACTTGTAAGTCAGAAGCAGGCACACAGGGATAGTAACAGATAGTGCCAGCGTCTCCTTAACTTACACTTATCCCGAGCTTTCAATATTAGACCAAAAATGAAATGAGTGCCTCCCCCTGTCGTGACACCCAGAAAAGCGCACGTTGTGAGCGGCAAAGGGCGCAAGGCAGCAGGCGAGCGGGGGGCCCAGCTGCCACATGTGTGGGCAGCACAGCTGCATCTGGGCCCATGGCTGGAGGGCACACAGGCCAGAGGAAGGCAGGAGCCCTTCCTGGGGTTTTCCCGGACAAGGGGCCCAGCGTGTTCCTGGCCTCGGGCCAGGCCAGCCACACGAACCGGGTGCCGTGGAGCATTACATAGTCTGCTTCAAGAAAGACTAAGAAAGCTCCAGAGCATATTTGAGGGGTGAGCTGAGCACAGGAAGGTTTCCAGTTCTCATAAGGAAGGCAGATGGCATAGATGTGTCTCATTTGTATCTATGAGGCTGGGCTGCCTTCTTTCCTTATCAGGAAATAGGAGATGAAAGGAAAAGTTCAACTTCCATGAGGATGCTTGAGGGAGACAGAGACTGAGTTAAACTAGCTCGGGATGTGCTTTGAGTTCTGGCACAGCTCAGTTCAAGCAAAGGAGCCCCCTCCCAGCCACTCATGTCTCCCCTCGTGCCACCCCTTCTATTGTGCTAGCACAAGATCTGACATAGAGCCGGAGAGGGAAGCACAGCAGGGAACTGGTCCAGCCAAAAAATAGCGCCACAGGGAATAAAAAAAAAGCCCGTTGTTTGATTCAGTTCACTGTGAAGCCACATAAATATGTGCTTTTTGACAATAGAGAGGGTGGCACACACGGGACATGAGAGCTGAAACTAGATGAGAAGAAAGGGGCTGCCAGGGCTCAACGTGGCACTGCCTTCAGGAGCAAACTTACATCCTCACCCATAGCTGAGATACCCTTGATGGTTCAGCACGAGTGTGTTCAAATACAATAGTGTAGTCAAAGTATTCACTTTTATAACAATGTATTTTTAATATATTCTCCAAGGAAGTACATTTTCTGTCTTCAGCTTTGAATAAAAAATCTGCTGAATTGTATTTTCTCCATTAACTGAAAATATTAGAGAATTCCCCTAATAAAAGCATAAATTCTTAAAATTCTGTTATATTCTAATCTATTCAAATCAAGATTTCTCCACAGACCTGTTGGCTACAAATATCATTATACACAAATGTAAATACTCTTTGAATGAACAAGTTGCCAGTAAGCATTTACATGTATACATATATTTTAACATTTGAAACATCTCCTCTGAAACTGATAAAGAAGCTTGACAGCTTTTGTGATATTTTTAAAGCTCATTCCAGGTCTTCATTAATTCCCTCTTTTTAACTTTCAGTAAATCCTGAAAGCTAAGAGCTAGGCTGAGGCTGGCTACCTATAAATTATTTTCAGGGTCACAGCCCACACCACTGCCAAAATGAGGAAAACAACAGAACAGAGAGAGGTCCCCCAAAAGTAAGAATAGCAAATCACTTAAAAATGTAAGTGAGAGCATCCAGCAAGTCTTTTTCTTTCTGGCTACTCCTTGTGCAATGTGATACACGTACACCTCCACTCTCAAAGATCCTTAAGTGCTTTTACACTCTAACAGTCCATGTAGCGCAGGAAGGACATGCAAAGGAACTATGTTATGATGACTGAGAAGTACAAATTTGTTAGAGGGAACAGAACTCTACGTGGAAGTATTTTTGCTTCCCCTTCGCTATCTTTCAAGTAACAGCAAGACTTCTAGGATATTGTTAACTGCTACGGTATTTTTTCAGGTCCGCTTTTGTTCTGTCTCCACAGTAAGTCTTATCACGGTAGGAACACTGATCACCATCATTTTACTCTCCTGCTGATGTTGTCCCATTTTGGGCAGAACACCTCTGTCTTCAGGAGTGACCAGCCCCAGGCTGCCTCAGCATCCAGCCCTTCTCCCCTTTCACAGCAGCCAAATTCCTCCTGTCACTCCAGGCCTTTTCTTCCATAGCCCCATGTTGTTCCCCTGCATACACCATGAACACTCTCCCCATCTACTTGGAAGCCAGGCTGTCCTGTTTATGCCTTAGTGCCTTTGGTTTGTTCTCCTATACTGCCCTTGATCACTTTTTGGGCTACTTCATTCTGGTTTTCTCTGCCTACAAACAGATCCACTCTTAAGCTCCCCTGCAGTGCAATTCATGCTCTTTTTGAGCCTTACACTGGAAATTAATACACATGAACTCCAAGGCACTGGGTTTTGTTTCACAAGAACAGGAAAAAACATCGATTCAAGTTCAGTTGGAAAGGTTTGACAAACTTTCCTTTGAAAAGCTACTACAACACAGCCTGTAACTGCAAAACAAAGGTATTCCAGGGTGTTTATAAAGTTAGATAGTCCACATAAATACCATAATTCCCAGTTCCTCCATTTAACTTCAGTAGTTGGTAGATCTACTTACACTAGGAAGTAACTTTTTTCAGTGAAATGTTTTTGGTCAAGTTCAGAGCAATACCTTGTAAACAAGGGCTCCTGACCCTGAGCCGGAGTCTCTATAAATCACCCTTAGGCCTTCACTGTATTCAGGAATGATCTCTTAGTTCACAGAGGTCACCTCTTCCTTTTCAACAGTCTTTAATCTAGGCTTTGCTGTGCCACTGCAGCCCTTCCAGCACAGGGGCTGCCTGTACTTGGTACGCAGCCCGAGCTCCGCGTTTGTGCCGTGGTGAGCTAATCACCCGCGCCGACAGCTCTCCCAGCCAAGCTGAGTCATTCTCACTCCGGTCTCACAGCCGCTATAGGACATTTTATCCATTCCTCCAGCCGCCCCCTCCATGCCACCTTTGGGATTTGCTTCCCGCTGCACGGCTCTAATCCTGCCCTCCCAGCCTTCGCCACTCCCTCCCACTCAGGATCCCCTCTCCCACTCAGCCTTCCCACTGCCCCAGTGCCACAAGACTCTTCTGCCAACTCCCCCAGTTCCCTCCAGTTCTCCCTCACTTCCCTTGGCTGCTTTTCCCAGTCCAGCCATAGCTGATACCGTAAGGGATAACCTGCATGTCAGAGAATTGCTGTGTGCAGTGTACTAACCCCCCAACTCTTCCACTACAGCACTTGACTAACTACTTCATCTCTAAGATGATCATTATTTAAATATTTTGTCTTTTGAAGAGTCTTATAATCACCTTAGCACTGATTCCAGTGTTAAAAAAGTGTTAAAATACCCATCCTGCTTATTCTTTGAACTCTTACTCAGCTTCAGTCTGGGTTGAGATGGGGAATGTGGAATAAATCCTAAGAAGGGCGAAGCTCTGACTTAACTGAAATGCTGGAGTGCATTCATGTCCATGGTCTTTTTGGCCCCAGTGTTATTCAGGACTTGGTTGGCTTCAGCATCATACAAGAAAACACAGGACTGAGCAGTTCCAGCAAAACACTAAAGGCCCAACGTGCACCCGAAGCAGTCGGTGCCCAGGAGCCAGCTGCTGGCTCAAGACAGAGGTCTGGTGGCAGGGTCCTTTCTCCATCACTGCAGAAACGCATGCGTCTACCAGCCAAGAGAAATTCTACTGCACGTTTAAAACTGAATAAACGCAAAGGCAACTCAGGCTAATTTAAATAGTTATAATGGAGATTCTGAGCTGTATTAATTTCTCTAAATAGTCTCTAATATTAAAGCTCGATACCCCTCATAATCCCCAAGAAACAACACGGGATCAAAACTCAGCTCCAACAGTGACAAGTGCGTGAAAGCCCTGGACTAGATCCTCAGCTCCTGGCTTCTACTCCCAACGCCACCACTGGCGCACGAGGTGATGGAATAGAATATTTCAGTTGGAAAGAACATACAACGATCATCTAGTCCAACTGCATCAATTGCTGATCTAAATTGCTTTCCTCCCTCCAGGGCTCAGTGCGAAATAGCATTACTAACCTTGCTGATAAAGTGAGATCTGCTGGGAGAAAGCACTGCTAGTTTTTATTTTTTCATAGCTTTCTCCATCATTACGTATTAGGGTCCTCCCCCCCCACCCCTTAAAAATCACGCACTTAACAAATGTTTAGACAGCTGGTGACCAAGAGTCAAAGCCAGTCATTCCCTCAAAGGCCAAACTGCCTCACTGAGTTGATGTCAGATGGTACTTAGTCGGATTTTTAAATTCAATTAAGAGACAAGCTATGCAGATTAGGGCTATACTAGAATCAGAAAGGAATCTTAAAAGGCATAAAATATCTTTACATTTATTAAGCAAACTCTGCAGTCTCTTCTCGTTAGATTCTTGTTGAAAAAACAGAACATTCAGAAAGTATCATGAAAACAAGAAACAAAAAAAATAAAGTTCACATGAGCCACACTCCCCCTTTCCCTCCCCGCCCAAGCAATGGGACTATCTTCACACCCATCCCACTTTTTAACTGTCCAACACAAGCAGCAAGGCACCATTTACAGCTAGGCTGGGAAATGCAGTCTTCAATGCATTCCTAACAAATCCACCACAGCCACTCTTCCCTTGTGTATCAGAAAAAGCAGGTTATATATATACCCACCTAAGTACAGACAGAAAACAAAAGACCAACGTCAGTCGTACAGTTCTGCTAAGACTTCAAGTCTGGAAAATGACCACTGTGCTGGGAACTCCTCGGTTATCCCGACCGGCATTAACTCCCTTTCCCTTTGCGCACACCAGTCCAAGTCTGCCAGGTTTAACTGAGCCTACGTGCTCTCACCCCTGGGATGCAGATTCCAACAAAGCCAAGCAGCCGCCAGGACAGCCAGCGCTGCCCTTACGGCAGAGTCAGAGAGCAAAGGATTATTGCTTGGCATTGGGGTTTGGTTTTTTTTTTTCATTTTGCAAATTAATTTGGGGATTATGAACAATTATGCTCTTGCATGTTAATCGCTGTGATCTAAAATTTTCACATGAAGAAACAACACATGAAAATATTAAAGCACTCATCTTACGGACATGGATCCGAGAACTGTTTAATAGAAGTCAGTGAAGGGGTAACATTGTGCTTTTAATCTACAGTTTAAAAATAATGATTTGTATATCTACTTAGTAAAACAATAAAATTAAGAACAGAAACTGATATTAGGAAACAGTGAAAATGTAATAATTAAACACATGATGCTTTTCAAAGCTATATACTGCATGAGCCTAAATAGACACCTATGGTTAGGAGGGTCTTAAAAAAAATAATAATAAAAAAGACTTATTTTCTTTTTTTTTTTTTTTTCAATTTTTGTCTACTACACTGTATGCCTTGCTTTGGTGTTCTCTCTGCTGCCAACTTAATGCTTTAACAGTATGTTTACGCTTATGTTCTTTTCAAATGCTTGGCATTATAGTGAGATCTCATATCTTTCCTCAAATTAAATTTTGCTCCACATACTCCACATGTATACAGATGAACATCCATGTGCTGCTCCAGTTGCTCATTATTTGGGAATATCTGAAAGCAGACCTGGCATATAGTCTCTCCAGCTGATAAGTGAGATATCATATGCCGTACATGGTCATGTTTTCGGAAGTTTCCTTGATCACAAATGGAACAGACATACCTGGCCATGCCTTTGTGCATATCATTGTGGAGCCGCAACTGGCGCTCTCTTAAGAACTGCTTCCCACATGTCTGACAAACAAACTGTTTTTCCTTGGTATGAACGGTATAGTGTTCCCGCAAGTGGCAACGCTGATAAAATCCTTTCCCGCAAAGATTGCAGAAATGCTTACGTCTGTGATCCCTCTCGTTCTCTTCCATCATGGAGTTCTTGAACAGATCTTGCTCCAGGCAGTTTGACATATGTTCAACCACTAGGTTTTCAGTTTCAAAACGCTGACCGCAATTAGGGCATCGGAACGGACAGGCAGAATGCTTGTATAACTGTTTTTTTTGAAGGCTGTTCATTGGGAAATGACTGTCCCGGAAGTCCTCTAGCATCTCTGCAAACATCATGTCCCGTATTTCTGACTGCTCCTCGGGGTTTTCTTCTAAGTCCATTTTCTCCTCAGAATTTCTGATACCGTTCATGGTCAGATCCTGGGGTTCTCCGCAGGTCTGGGCATGATCCTGTAACTGCTTGCCTTTGACCAGGATTTGACCACACTTGCCACAAGCACATATATTTTCTATGTGTTTGGATAAATAATGAGAGGACAAATCTTCCTCGGTGATTGTTAGCCCACAAAGTTCACAGGGAGCGTTCTCCACATCTTCCTGCACTGAAGGAGCCTTTCTGTTAAGGTGCCGTGGACTTTTCAAACACTTCCTTTCATCCTCATCCATGGATAAACGGGATCTTAAAGTCTTCCGAGCATTTCTCTTCTCTCTGATCTCTTCCTCAACATAGTATCTGTAAAGCGGCTCTTCCTGTTCATCATCTAGGTCGTCATTGTCAGAAGACTCGTTGCAGTCTTTATCTGTCACCTTAATAATATTAAAATCTTTCATCTCATCTGCAGGATTGTCCTCTGGTTCCATCTTGATGATAATCCTCTTCCTCTCGGAGGCTCTATTTCCTTCTTCACCTGATGTCTCGGAGGCAACCGTGCTGCTTTTTCTGCTCGTGATGTTTGACACGGGAGATGAAGAATCATCTGCAGCTTGGCTCGAGTCCCCATTGTATTTTTCCGTTTGCGTGGAGATTATTTTAGTAGTAGAGTCCTTTTCGTTAAAGTCTATTTTTTCAGCACTGTAGTACCTGGCACTTTGGTAAGAATGCCTGTTAGTGCACGTTAGCACGTGCTCATCCAGGAGCTTTTCGCAGCTAAAACTAAAGCCGCAGCTGTCGCAGGTGAAGCTTCTTCCAAAGCGCCGCGAGTGGGACACGCGCTCTTTTGTGTGAGAGAATTTGGACGTGGTGGTTTTTTTGCAGACATCAAACAGTTGTTCGGGGAAGCTGCTTAGTTGCAAAGCTTCTTCATCGGGCTCTTTGTTATGGGATGTATTTACTGTTGAACTTGGCGGCTCCATGCCCCACCTGTTTGCTTCGCTGCCATTTCTAGCAAGCGTGTCTTCATACATTCTCACGCCAAATATCATTTTACTATTCTGGGTGCTAGAAGCAGAAGATGAACATTTTAAACTAGATGAGTCTGTGTCCTGGATATCTTCTAGACATTCGGGTACATTATAGAGCTGTAAATAGTTCATGGCCACTTTAAATTGCTCGAAATTGGCAGGGGCTGTCATAATTTTTCCTAAATACATGAACTGTAAAATAAGATCAAAGCATTCAGCGCTAATCTTCATGTTGCTTAGATTCAGCTGGGCTGTAGTGTGTTGATGGTTCATAAAAAACATCCTAAAATAGGAGCTGCACGCAGCAAGAACTGCTTTATGTGCTTGAAAATAAATATCATCGATAGCGATGCAGCAGTCGCACAGAAAGCCCCACTCTCTTTGGTTGTTTAGCTGCTGAAGGACATAGTTGCTGTGGCTGGTTCTTGCCATCTTGTACTTCAATTACAGCCCTGCATAAAGAATAAGACATCTGTTAGACTGTGATCACAAGAAGCAAAACATATTTAAATGCAGGGAGGAACTGCCATCTTTTTCTTCTCCAGATCTTTCTATTCTCACACTGTTTGTGGTACAGCTTCCCGTCTGGAGATCTCTGCTGGTAACTACTACAAATATCAATGCCAGTGAAAACATCCATAATTCCATGTTCTCACCACTAGACTTACAAGCCTAGTAAACTAATACACATAACTACCACACATGTCAATCAGAGCAACGCTGCTGGAATATAAATTAGCAAATACATCTCAAAGTCCTACGGCCAAGATTTTCAGATATGAATTCTGAATGCAGAACTTCAAAAACTTCACAGGGTAAACTTCTGTCAGATGGCCCCGGGACAACACCTATGCAAGGTAAGCTGACTGTAACAAACCACTCTGCAGTCTCAACTTGCCTTTTTCACCTGTCAGTCCAACAGACATGTGATGCAACACAGACTGGAAACCAGGCCAGGCTCAAACTGGTCCTTCCCTCCCCCTTAAAGGAAACTAAGACGACGCATCAGCAGAGCATCCACACAAGCTTCATCCACGCACTGTTTGCTCTTCGGGGCAGCTCAGGGACAGTCTCAGCCTTATCTGCAAGGCATCTTTGCAAACCAGGAACTGCCAACTCAGATGCGTTCTCAGAAGCACAGGACAGCCCGGCTGCGATGGCACATCCCCGGTACGAGCCCGCTGCAGGTGGTGACCAGGCTGGCCGTGCGACAGCCGCAAGGACTGCACAGCGGCAGGAAGCGGTGCACGCCGTGCCTCCAACTGCTCTCAAAACCACCCGTTCACAGCGCTGTCACCTAACCAAAACACGCAGATGGGAGACAAAGAAAAACCCAGCAATGGAGAACTGTGAAAGCCAGAGGTGGAGCCCCGGTGAGACAAACCCTCGGCAAAGACTAGAGGGAAAGGTCTGCAAGCGCTGAAGGTTGCTGTGAGTGAAAGGACTAATTTGTCCTCAAGAGAAAAGATGAAGAAAACATAATGGTTTATGTTAACAAAAACATCCAGAAAAATGTATCGTACACAGGAGGCATGCATTTGATTTACAGAAGACAAACTTAACCAAGTGTGGCCAGACCCAACAGCTAGTCACTTTGGAAAAGCTTTACTGATACACATAATCTGTACTGGCTGCACAGAGAGGGGGGTGAGAAACCAAAATAAGGTATAAAGAACGCCCTGATTGAAATGAAAAACCTAAAGCAATAACGAGCATTCTTCACATTTTGAAAGTTTATTGCAAACAATGCAAATCATGATAAGAGATTAGTACAAATAAAGTACAGGCTAACAGACAACATATATTAAATGGCATTTTATGACTCAATGAAATGCATGGATTGATTTGCAACCATTCTTTCAACTGTCCAAAACTTAAACAAAGTACATATAAAAATGCTCCCTATTTCTTCTTATTCCCCTGACAGCTTACATCTCCTAGAGGCTGGGAAATGGGTGGAGGAATTAAATTCTACAATTAGTGTTGAATTCACAAGTTGTAGGTGTTGCCTGGCTTGCTGAGTAGCAAACCTAACATTAAGTCACCATTCTTCTTCATTCTGCGAAGGACTGCCATGGAAGAAAAGCGTTCAAGCTCTCAAGACGAGAACATGTTCACCACGACCAGCAATATTCCCTACTGCCAATCCACATACTTACGGATCACCACCAGCACAAGACCTTGTCTGGCAACAGGAACCTTGAGATTTGTGTTGAACTACACTGATGATGAGCATATGAATGACAGCTGCTCCTCTCAACCCAATCCTCCAAACCCAAAACTCAAGGAGAGCACCCTGCCATAACAACTCTCTAACCAGTTTGGCCCAGTGATATCCACTGCAGAAATACAACTCGTTGCATTAAATTACTTTAATGGCTTTCTTACTAACTCGCAAAAGGGTGGCTTTGAAAGTAGCAGAATCTCTGAAATGACTTTGTGTCTTTTCTATAGAAAAGTGATTATTGTCTAAGTCACTGGGTAACTTCAGAAGTTTCTGTGAAAAACAGCAAAGCTCTCAACATCAAGTAATAATACAAGGGCACTTTATATTCTTCCAAGTGCTAACGTGTTTTGGATTTGAGGTAATTCATTAGATGCTTAAGTGTAATTCAGTATACTGTATCAACTATTAAGAACAGCAGCTGCATAATGATGACAAATTTACTTCAACTTCCACATTATAAGAGTGAAAACCAATGAGGGAGCGAGAAGATGCAGTCTAAGGCACCACTGGCCTCTTGGTGTGAACTGCCTTCAAGAAAAGGCTCAGGACAGCTCGTTGTAATCTCCTCATCCTCATAAAGTGGCAAGTTTTAAATTTCTTATTTAATTTTTTTTCTATGCTAAAAGTACTCCACTGTGTCCTCTAAGCAACAAACCTGTTCGGAAAAAAGGGTCACAAACTATCTGCACGGACCTGCAGACTGGGGCACTTCCAAACAGTGGGAACCATCTGGCAGCCACTGGAGTGACAGCCCCAAACTCTAAGTTTCCTTCTTCTTTGAAAAAGGTGAAAGCTATTTCTCCTTTTGACAGGGGAACT